TTCATCTCATCTGTGATGTAGGTAAGTCGCATTCATCAGGAAAACAACCAGAAGGAATTAATTCTCAAAACGAACCACAATGAAGAGATGAAACGTGCCCAAATCGAATCTGAAAACGAGATGAGAGAGGTGCATGTGGTACCAGCTTCAAGATGAATTTCCAGATTCATTTATAGTTTGGATTTGTGATGCTTGTTTAACCATATAGAGAACAACCGCGCTTAGGAATGAACATGAAGCTCAGATGAAAGCTGTACAGTGTCAGTATGAAGATGAATGTAGAAAACTGCAAGAGGAATTGGATCGGCAGAAATCCAAAGTATGCAATATCTGTAGTCTTAAAGTGGATTTTATGAACTGTATCGGAAATTGACTTCATACGATGCACTGCAGGAAGATAGACAGAGAGCTTTATTGCAATTACAGTGGAGAGTAATGGCCGACAAGCCACAGGAGGATCAAGAGGTCACTTCAAGAAAGGTTAGGTCTTGACTATTTTTCCTTAATCAATCCCATAGAGAATCTTTATTTCAATAGACCTCCATGCAGGATATGTCATTCTTTAAAACTCATACTTTGAGTTAATTGTGTGATGCTACTTTACATTTGTGTAGAACATTTTCTTTTAGATTTGTGCTGAATATTTAGTTTGGTTCAAAGGAATTGAAAACTCAAGATGTTGAGAATGTTTTTTCTCTGCTGAAGATTGTGCAAGATATTTTCTTTTCTTTAAGGTTGTCTCACCGCATTTTGCTGTGGTCCAGGATGGCTAATAAATGAACCAATTTTGTACTACTCAATCTAATGATGTATGACTTTTGATCATGAAGTCTATTGAAAGTATTGAATAGGCATAACTCCGTTGACACCCTATTGCATGCATAACACACTTCTCGTAGCATCAACTTTGGATGCAATGAGATGCCCAGAAAATGCAGATAATAAAATAAGAAGTTATTTTTTGTGATTTCGATGCAAAATGATGCACCTTGTCTGTGTTATCTATCTGCCTATGCATTTTGGGAGTTGTTCTTTGGAAACTAAAAGAGGTCTTCTTCTCTTATTGGCATTCTGAGTTTGATGCTTGCACCAGTAAGGACTACCACGTTTTTAACCTCATGTCCCATTTGGATGTTGTCCGCATATATATGCATCATAGTGTGAAGATATTAAGAAGATGTACCTGAATTTTACAGTTGGGAAATTCATGTTTGTGATGATTGATATAAATTCCATCTCATCTGGATACGCATCATCTGTTGATTTAACAATAAGAATATGGAGATATGCCTTGAGCTTTATACGATATAATTCCTCTTGTCATTGTGAATGTTTTTCTTGAAAGGAGTATTCAATCACTTCAATGAAGAAGAGGAATTCTAACGGTAGTAGAAGAAGCCAGCATGTCTCAAGAGCAGAAGATGATGAGCAGGTGACCGGGAAACACTAACTTGTTCTCTTGCTTGCTCTGCAGCCAATAGAAAATCGGCTTCTCATCTCATTTTGATTCCAATCGTTGTTGCAGGATTCACCTATCCCTGAAGCAACTCAAACACCTGTGTCAAAATTGTTGAAAAAAGTAGAGAACACTAATACTGGTAGTGTGGCAAATATTCCCAAGCATAGCAAGAAGGTAAGTTGTTATCCACTGTGATCTTAACACAAAAAACAGAAGTCTATCATTAAGTGTCATCTAAGGTGCATTTCTTATCCTCTGCACCCGGTATTATATTCTTCCATTGCATGAATTGATATAATCAGTCCGATATTTCTCGTGCAAGTGCTTTCTGCCTGCCTCATGATATCGTCAAGTATACTCAGTTTACTTTCTGCATGACAGGTAACTCACCGTGAATATGAAGTTGAGACGACAAATGGAAGAACAATTACCAAAAGAAGAAAGACAAAGAGTACTGTAATGTTTGAGGCATGTATCTAGTCTGACTGAACCATAAGATTAGCATCTGATTGTTGGTCCTCCGTTAGTTAGGTTGCTAGCCTTTGTTTTGCCAAACAATGGTGCCCTTCAATGTATCTCATTGCTGCAGGATCCAAGAAAACATAAGAGGATGGTTTCACCAAGAATGAGCACCCCCAAGGATGTAAAGGTAAGTACGGGCAAAACTAATAGATAAGTGTTTATACTTGAACTATAGGAGTTTGGTATCAATTTCACTTTTCAGTTACCAGAAGACTATGTCTAGGCAATTCCTTCATCTCCCTTGTGATGAGCCGCTTGGACTCAATCCATGGTTATTTTATTAGAACAGTACTCAACTACTTGTGTCAGTTTTGAGGAAAGGTACCTGCGAAGGTTTCTCATATGTTACAACATAAAGGATCAGATGAATAGTGGGATAAAAATAATAGATTAATTTATGCATGTACCTTTCAATCCAATTCCACCAGGATGAAGTATGTATTTTACACATCCTGACCTTGTCTCTGTTGATATCTTACGTTCTTTCGCTGATTCTCTATACCTAAGGATGCAATATCCATATTAGTGAAGGAAGAGGAAGAAACCCGATGATACTTTTTGTCTTTTGTTCGCAATTCGATGGGTAGACCTCACACTTAAAAGTGAATAGAGAAATGGATCAAGGACCCACTACAATAAAGACTTTAAAGAACCACTTTAAATAGTAAATTTTCAGAGATTAAGGTTCCGTTTTATTTTGCAGAAAATGAATGATTTGGAAAACATTTTCCTAAAAATGATTGCATGCATCGCTTAAAATAATTAGTCAATGAAAAACGTCTTCATTATCGACAATAATTTATGTCTAAATATTTTCCTTGACGATGAAAATATTTTTCGTTCGTTTATTCATTCTTGTAAGCGACACAAGTGATCATTTTTAGGAAAATATTTTCCATACCATTTATTTTCCGCGAAACAAACGCACCCTAAGTGAAAGGAACTCTAACTGGCCCCTGTTGTTATATATATTCAATGATGGTATAGTGTTGAAGAGGCTGAAAAAACGTGGCACCTCCTGGTTCTGACTGTTGCCACAGGTAAATCCCGACAGTTTGAGAGCAACAGAACAAAATTGATATGTTGTCTTACAGTGGATACCAAATAATAATTACATGTAGGAATTTGTATAAATATATGTAATACAGCATACATTGTCATTAGCCTTACATCAAGTCACATGATTTGCCTTTTTTTTCAGAACCTGTAATTAATGATTTTTTCTGAGTATTTAAAGATCATTCTTGGTCTGCACTCTTTGTGCAGGGAACAAAGGGAGTTCATCCTCCACGAAGTTCGAATATAGGTGATTTGTTCACAGAAGGATCGTTAAATCCCTATGTCGATGATCCTTATGCATTTGACTGAGGTATTTGTTGGTTCTGAAATGTTTCTGAGATCTAACGAACTGATAATGCTATCTTATACTATGAATTTTAGATATAATGATGATTCTATGGTAGAATTTAGACAAATAGATCATATAGCGGAGACCGCTAATGAGACTGTTCAGTCTTTGCTAATAGATCACACAGCATAACACCTGTAGCTCTGCTAGGCCCTGAGCCCACCCTGAATTTGGGTACAAAGATCTGCTCATATCTGAATATTTCCCAATCTACTGGGCATTCGGCCTAGTGGCCAGTGGGTGGACATGGGGACGGGAGGTTGGAGGTTCAAAACTCCCAACCGCAGACCAGAAAAAGAAAAAGAAGCAACCAGTTCTCATTTTTAATGGTCGCGTTATCTGAGTCTCATTTGTTACTGCCAACACTATATTTGTCTCCTATTTTTCATGATATTTTCTCTCCATTTATAACTAGGTCCTCATGCAAATGGATCTTCCATATAGTTGTTACATTTATGAACTCATGCAAATGGATCTTCCAACAACATTTTTAGCATTACTTGGATATATGTAGTTTTCTTCTGGAAGATTGTACTCTAGAAATCACACTAATTTTCCAGCCATAGAGATGTTCTTGTTGAAGAACAGAACAATAATTAAAGGCATGGAGGATAGATTAGCGGTGTGAATGAGAGTTACGTTCAATGTTCTCCAGTGGGATACAAATGGCGGTACCTTGTCTTCTGGCAGATCGTACTAATCATGATGAGGAAGAGCTTCACAGCAGTCATTTTTCCTTCTTTGTTTTTGATTGACTTTTATTCCTGTAATTGAAAATTCTGCTTGTTCTTCCGTATGAATCTATGTCAAGGTTGTAGTATCATCGGAGTCCACGTGATCAGCTTACCTATGATTATGTAACTTAATTTAGAGAAATCTTGGTGTGTAAATATGAATTTCCTGCTTATCGTTACAGTAAATGCTATTTGTTCGTCACTCTAATTTCAATTTTCTTGGCCTAGGCTTAAGCGTTTCCATCACTTGCAATTCTCTGTTTCATTTAACTGAATTCGTGACATTCAGGGGGCCCAACCAGTTGAACATGTTCAGCATCACACCAACCAGCTTGCATTTCTTCCGGAGAACAGATTCTTTTGCAACATCTTTGGGTGAAATGGTTTGCAAGATACTGGCAGTCTCTGTAAATCTGTACATTCACAGAAATTACAAGTGGGACGGTACACAGACGTATGCTTCTTAACTTCACTTGTACATCACTTATAATCACACTGCAGATATCTGGTATTGGGTCGCGATTCATATATGTGAAGTAAGACAGCAAAAAAATAAACCTCAGTTTTGCATCAGACGCACAACTAGGTCTGCTCTTTCCAGTTCCCTGATGGCAGAGTATTCGGTCTCTACAGCACTTAAAAGTGGCATTATGAACATGACTATCCAATTTTGTTGGATTGATGCCTGAGGTATCAGCTATCTCTTAGCCGTTCAAGGGAAGAGTGCCAGATGTGGGAATGCAATTTGTAGGGTCATCCTGACCAATACGTTTAGGCGAAATGGGTGAATTGGATACATAAATTCTCTTCTGCAACTTGTTTAGACGAAGCAAAGGTTAAATTCTGCATGACGCTCTAACCTGACTAGGCGGTGATCCGCTTGGTCAAATCTTTACCCCTGGCTGCATCTATGGTCGATCCCCTCTATAAGACTTCTGACCCCATATGCTTTTAGGCCATACGTTCATTATACAACTCAAATACTACCCAATTTGTAATTACTAATTAGATTACCAGCCGCCATGAAGCAATGGAGCAGTTCCTGCACTTTATCAAACTTACTACGTCTTTTCCTTCCCCCGAGTAACACAACTTACTACATCGCAATGAAATAAGATGCATGAATTTCTATAGCATTAGAAGACCCAAATTTAATATGTTCTTTGAAGCATGTGGCGTCCAAGTCATGAACACATGAAATTTCCTTGCATACCGACCCTCGTCTCTCTCAGAATCGCAGTACGTTATCTGCCCTTTTTGCCCCCTCAAATCAACAGAGACAATAATACGAGCTAGTATGATTCCTTGTTAACAAACTTTTGCCAGTACCAATGTCTCTCCCACACCACATGCATCGAGTCCATAGGAATCCCCTTCGTCTCCGGCAAGAAGAGCACCACAAAGATCGTCATCACGGCGATCCAAGAGGCGTAGAATAGGAAAGCGCCGTACTTAAAGTGGCACAACATGGTCAGGAAGGTCTGCGACAGCACGAACGTGGCCGCGAAATTCATGGCCACGTTAATGCTTTGCCCCGTGGTACGAATCGTCATTGGGAGTATCTCGCTCGTGATGAGCCAGCATAGGGGACCCCACGACAAACCAAACCCGGCCACGTAGATGCACATCAGCACCAGCACTAGTATGGCGCAGCCCTTGCCGATGCGCTCCGTACCAGAAGTGCCCGCCGTCGCGGCCAAGACACATGCCGCACCAACCTGAACAATAAGCAAAACACGGTTTAACTTTACGGGCTCACGTGGATTTATGATTACAAGATTGACCTCGAGATGGAGGGTTGGTTGAGCATTGTGATCGTATAAATATCTCGGTGCAGTTAGTTTTGTATCTTGAGCATTACTCTTTAAAGCACGTTACTTCTTTAATATCTGCATGCGGATCACGCCTCGTGCTCATGCATTGCTAATAAGCTAGGGGGCTAATTACGTACCTGACAGAGGAACATTTGCACTCCACCCTCAATGAACAAAAACCTCCTCCCACAACGATCCACCACAAACATAGACACCAGAATCGATCCCAAGTTCACCAATCCAAGTATTATCGCCGCTATCAGAGCGGAGTCGCTCCCGAATCCCACGGACTGAAACAAAACAGGCGCGTAGAATGCCATGATGTTGATCCCTGTAAGTTGCTGAAAGAACGGGATCGCTATCGACATCGCCAGGTGAGGCCTGTACTGCCTCTCGAAGATCGTCACGAAGGGCTCCTCGTTGGCGGCCCTCGCTATCTCGCTGGACCTGATGAGCTCCGCGAGCTCGGGCTCGATGTCGGTGTTGTGGCCCCGCGCCCTGAGGAGCGCTTGCTTTGCCTGAGCGAGCTTGCCGCGCTCGACGAGGCTCGCGGGAGTGTCAGAGATGAGGAGGGCGCCGAGGGTCATGATGGCGGCCGGGGCCGCGGCGAGGCCGAGGGAGAGTCGCCATCCCCAGCTCATCTTGGCGGTGCCGTAGTTTATGCAGTTGGCGGCGAGCACCCCGACGCCTAGGAAGAATTCGAAGCCGGTGTTGAAGGCACCGCGCCATTTCGGCGGGGCCATCTCGGAGAGGTACAGAGGAGTTGCCTAAGATACAATTCTCATCATTTACTAAACCGATGACAAACCTCTTCCAAAAAGAAGGGTATATTGCATGAATCTAATTTGTATACTAAATTGAATCCGAACCATGGATCTGATTAAACTTATTATTTTCAATGGTCAAGATTCAATTTATTATATATTATTTATCGTTGAACGGAAAACTAGCATATAGATATTATCCTTGAGAATTTAGTAGTGTACATTTCTCTAACCTATTAAGTCTCCACCAAACTAATATAAAATGAACTTGATCATCTACCACGATACATTTACATATGTCTCGTCGATCACAAAAATATCAACTGAAGAGTCCAAATGGAAGATCTTTATCTCAATTGATCATAAACTAAGAGCCTGAACGTACCAGCAATTTCAGAATGGCTAAACCTTAACCATGAAATCAGGAGCACAAAGTCAACAACCTTGATATAAAAAGGACTTCTTTTCTTTAAAAAAACTTAGTGAAACAGCAAATGAACTATTACCTGATTAGTGAGGCCGACACCGAACCCAAGCAAGATACGCCCGATGATGAGCATGGCTATGTTGGCAGCTCCACCGTTGATGGTGGCCCCGGCAAGGAAGGTGCAGCCACCGAGAACCATCATGTTTCTCCGACCGAACGCCGCAGTGAGGCGGCTCGCCAAGAGGGACGTGGCCAACCCCGCGATGTAGAGGGAGGACGTGAACGCCGTCAGGACCTGGCTGTCATAAACGCAGTACATATTCGTCTTGGCCTCGGCAGCCTTCCTTAGTACCAATGGGAAGAATTTCTTCAAGAACGGAACCATTGTAGTGACACCCCCTAAACAAATTAATTGCAAATTTGCACCATCTATCTGTTAGTCCACTAAAATGTATATCTCTTGTTTCTTGCATAGATTTGTCCATTAACCCTGAGTATGTCCCAAAATTGATGTCAAGGCTGCGTACTGGTCGGCATTACATGAATAAATTTACTTGTGCGTTCAACACCCAAATTAATCTACTAGTTGGCATTACCTCAGTAGATTGAAGAGTTTATACCGTACACGAGAATAGGGTCTATTTTTTCTTTTACTTGAAATAAAATATAGTCAGAGATCGCAATATGAGAAACTGCTTATATAAAGACTACACCGATGGTATATGGGTGCTTTTTACACAAAGTCCATTTTCAATAAGTCTGTAGATTTTCATTTTTGCTGCATTCCTGTCATGAAAATACATGTATCGGTCGAACTATTAGACAAAACGGTGGCCCTAGTCATTTCACAAATATACTACACTCATGTAATAATTTTTCGAGTATTCCTCCATACTGTCCTCTGCAACTCACCATCTGAAAATGCTTAAAGAGCGAGCCAAGCTATCGGCTCATGCCTAACTTACTCTTCGGATAAGGACGAACACTGCATGTTCAATGTTCATCTACCAAGCACTATTATCATCTTGGGTTTGGACAGTTCCTCTTTTTTACCCATGTGTTGACTTTTCATGTTCCTTTTGGAGCAATGTGTAGCAATTGTTTGCCCTATATAGGTAGTAGATGTGGCAAAATGGGTCAAAAATCCATATATTAACTTATATTTAATGGTTGTGAATCATAAATTAGTTGACATTAGTTTTACAAATAAGCTTAAATGGGTCATAAATGGGTTACATAACAAGCTTAAGTGGATGATAAACATGTCATTTTTATTTTTTTAAAATATTATGATTTTTATTTTGTTAATTTTGAATTTTTTATATTTTGAATTTTTTTTTTCTTTTTCTTCTTCCCCTGCCGGTGGCTGGCCATGGCGACAGCTAGCGGCCAGCCACAAGTGAGGGACGAGCTCACCGACCTCTAGTAGGCTTCGAGCCTCTTTAGCCTCCGGCGAGGCCAAGTCCTCGTTAGCCTATAGTGAGCCTCGAGCTCATCCCTCACCTGTGGCCGACTGCCAACCAGCCATCGGCGGAGGAAGAAGAAAAAATAAAAAAATAAAAGAAAAAAGAAAAGAAAATAATTAAAATATGATTTCTTAAAAAAAAACAAAAAAAATATTAAAATGATTGCACAGAGGAAAATCAAATTAGATATTTTATACTGGAAAATATTTTTCTAGTTCATTTTTAGGTTTCAACCAAATATCAGAAAATGTTGTCATGTTCCTGGAAAATGACTTCCTAGAAAATATTTTCCAAAAATGTCACATTTTTCGCGAAACAAACAAAGCCTTAATTTTTAACAAAAAATATATAAAAATTTTCTACTCGATTTGTATTGCATGAAAGTGTTTTAGCAATACAATTTTAAAAAAAAATCATAAGAAACAAGCTTTCCTAGATTTAGTTAAATGGATTGGGTTGGGTATGGATTGTGAAATTTGCATTGTGATAATGGGTCATGAATGAGTTAAATGGATCAATTTGAGTCGGATCAATTATGGCCCAATCCAAACCCAACTCGACCTACCCATTTTACAGGTCTAATAGATAGATGATGGAGTTAATGGTGGGAATGAAGTACACCTAGGGCTCTCTATCCTTTTGCAAAATAGATCTCTATGCTCTATGCAAACAGGTCATAAAATTAATGTCATTAAATGGCTAACGTGGTTGACTCAGCCGATAATAATTGTTTTCGTTTTCCATAATTACAAATGAGGAAAAACCTTAATTAGATGCTGATGGCAACCTACATAAGAACCTCCTCAAGATGAAAACAGCTTTGGCAATTTCCACAATTTGCCGATAATAATTGTTTTCATTTTCCATAATTACAGATAAGGAAAAGACCTTATTAGATGTTGATGGCAACCTACATAATAACCTTCTCAAGATGAAAATAGCTTTAGCATTTTCCGCAATTTGCCGATACTAATTGTTTTCATTTTCCATAATTACAAATAAGGAAAACCCTTATTCTACTTGGAGCTAGCCATCACAATCACTGTAGCGATACTATAGTAATCAATAGAAGGATAAGTAAAGCATAAGAACCTCCCTCAAGATGAACACAGCTTTAGCATTGAGAATCATGGAATTCGTACAACTTTCTCATGTTGCTTCATATTCATGACAAATATATAAAAGATTACGCCTTGAAGAGAGAGGAAATTAGCAATCATTAAAGAAAGCATTCAAATTCATTTATGATCACTATTTTTTTAATCAAGTGATTCTGTTAATTTTAAAAATATTTGACAGCAGGCAAACGAAATGCAAAGCAAAGATTGACGTCAGCTTTGCTTGGATTAGCAACAGTAAAACAACGCGCACTACTTCACGAGAATCCCACATCATCGATTCATCCAAATGACAGCAGTTGAATGAAACCGGCATCTTACTCGAAGCAAATATAACGTGTGAAGGGGTCATATCGAGTCCGTTTCACATAGGCTTATCGTGTTCTGCGTGTACTGGAGCTGAAACTATGAAGGTGTTGATAGGAGGACATAAGGCATGGGGATGAATTTGATGTTTTCGCGTTGATTGCTCGAGGAAGAAGACATGACAATTCATTTGCGGTTTCGAGTACGAGGTATTTCGATTCGATCGTTTTAACCTTCCCCACCGTCTGAAGTGCATATATCATCATCTCATTCGAAGACAGCGGATGAAACTGGACAGAGGAGAGAGGCAGAAGACGCACCTGAAATGCCAATGTCGTACCCGAAGATGAGCCCGCTCGTTGCGGCCACGATGCAGGTGATCACCACCGACAGTGTTATCCTGCCGCCGAGGCCATTGGTGTTGCTGCCGTCGACTCCTACTGCCATCTCTCTTTCTCACTCTCTTACTTTCTCTCAAGTACGAGCAGAGCAGGACTTTTGGTAGTTTTCGTCAGAAGCGAATGTTGACGGGAGTCGCAAATAGCCGGTTCACGAGACCGTCATTTTATAATGAGTTAATGACAATGAGAGAATGGCGTTACGTAGAGCCCCGACTGGGTCACTTAGGGATGTGCATGATCCGGATTGAGCCGTTTCAGCACCCAATTTAAGGACCAATCTGCACAGTATTTGGTCCCCAATTTTTAAGACCAGAGACTGACCCTATTGAGCCTAAGACTGAGGACTGGACCGACCCTATAGGTTTGGTCTGGTTCCAAGGTCAATTCGGGACCAATCAATTCTTTTTTTATTTTATAATTTTTGAAAGGACAAACGTACTCTTTAAAATTACATATCCATTGATAATGCGATATTGAGTAACCAAAATATGAATACCGTTACAAATCAAACAAAAATCTAAAATAAGGCAACAACATAAATATCCACTTGCCAAAAGCAACAAACCATAGAAGACCCTACACGTGAAATAAAATTAAACAATAAAATGTTCAGAATATGTAACATAAATCATGAATTATACAACTTCATATTTTGTTCATTCTTAAAAGATCGCTTCAAATTTTGAGATGAGTTGTTTTCGTGGGGCAAGCGAGGCGAGGCGAGGCGAGACATCTAGTGAAGGGAGGCAAGTGAAGAGAGACAACGAGGTTTTTATTTTAAACAGCCCAAATATTAAGCTATTTTCATTATTTATTATTTGCATCCCCTTGAAGGGAAATATCGTCCTTAATATTGCGAAACCACCCAGTAAACTCCTCCGTCATCTTTATTCTTTACCCCAAGCCCCAAGAAAGAAAAGCACAAAGACAACGTCTGTTACGGAAAACTCATGTCGTTAAGCCCCATCGATTCTTCCGTACAAAGTCACCACCTCTGTCACCACTATAAATCAGTAGCCTAGAAGAGGAGGGGCCTAGGGCTTGGACAAAATATATATACACAAGATTGGTCCCTGTCGCGACCTACTTCACGAGAGCCGAACTGGGTGAAGCGGGTTTAGAGGTAAGTGTTCATGAAATGGTCCATATGGCACATCATAAAAGATAGTTTTACCAAAGCATAGACCTTTTAGTCATCCATACGGTCCGCATGGCACATCATAAAAGACGACTTACCAAAACGTCAATCTTTTAGTCATCCATACGGTCCGTTTGGCATATCATAAAAGATGGCTTACTGAAGCATCGATCTTTTGGTCATCCGTATGGTCCATTGATCATGAACGTGGATTTTTCCTAAATCCATACCTCACGTGACAACGGATCGATTTTATCTTTTTTAGGAGTCGCCACTAGCCTAGGTCGGGGGTCGGCTAGAATACCCAACCGAAACGCGGGAGTTTCGTTTCAGTTTCTACGAAAACCAGAGATCATGAGTTCGGGGACTAGCTTACGTCAATATTTCTATTAACGCCCTTTCGGTACCGCTAAACTTATCATGGTTGTTATCTAAGTCGTCATGCATTTATGTAAATCGGATTGGACATCGGTCTATCGACTTGGTCTTTTACAATTTTGAATTATCCCCTCCATGGACCGCCTCTCGAGTGTTGGCGTTTAGATTCACAACATACGTTCACGACAAACAATGCACAAAGGAACAACAAAAGAAAAGCAATGGTGCAAAAAATTCACTAATCAAGCACGGGCCTCGGTATCGGCCTTTGTTTTTCATGCATTTCGATTCACCACCCACCTAATCATCTAACATTATTTGATTAATGGTTAACAATAATGAGCTACCATTTGCATTCACAAAACGACAACTCATATCAATTAACCCCTAAAGTCGGATTCTAAATGACCATAATGGGCTACCCGCCGAACATGCACTGGGCCTAACATCCATCTAACAAACACATACATAGCAATGAGTAAAACATGCATTCAAGCCCATGGGCCTTGTTTCTCAACCAATAAAGCAATGAGAAGTGGGCTTCGTAAGAAGACCACTTATTCAATTATTATCTAATTCGGATCATTTCTGTTTAGATGTGATTAACTAATCTAATGATGTCCAAATTAAGTGATTCAGGTGTCATTAGAAAGCTTATGTCATGAGGATCAAAAGTTAAGAAGACCAATTTTTCTAAATCCCCACCGATTTTCACGAAACAAACAATTTCACTCTAGGTGACAGACTGGACCCGGTTCTGTTAGTGATTTCAAAATAATGGCGGGAAAAATAACAAACCTTATCAAAACCGTGTGAAAATTTTTAGGCAGTTAGGAATCTCTGCGTACGACAACTTTCATATTTTGAGTTTTTGCTAAAAAGTCCTCCAAATTTTTATAAAATTATGTTTTCACAAAGGACTTAACTGCAAATCGAATTTTAACTCGAGAAGGCCTTATCTGAGGTTTTTAGCAAATCAACCCCCTAAAAATTGTTATTAGGCCCTCAAAATTTCCAGTCTATATAATGAGACCCCAAGGAACAATTTTATAATTTGGATTTTTCACAAAGGAGGACTCTAACTTTATCAAATTCGGAGAAACATCTTTTGGATTCCAAAGGAATGAAAATCAGATCTGAACACAGATACTAATTAGATCATAAAAATTCCTTTTGAAAATACAAATGAATTCCGAATTTGATGAAATTAGTATCACTGGAAAGATCTCGATCTCAGTGTGAACTTTCGTGAAGAAAACTTTTTCATATTTTGAACACATGAATTTGAAAAATCGAAGAACACATGAAGGTCAGTCAGAAACTAGTCTGTCACCAGATCGTACAATCCTAACATAGTCGGAATTTTATGAAAATTTTATGATGAACAGATTAAGATGTATTCTGCGACTTTCATGAAGGAAGTTTCTTCAAACAACGATCGTAGAAAATCAAAAAAATCATAGAACAGCACAACACCAATCAGGAAATCATTAGAACAGACTTGAACATCACATTCCAGATTCTTATCCTAACTTCCGAAAGAGTTTTGACCTAGCAAACTAAGTCTGATTGAAGCATGTAATATATCAAATCGAAGCTTGAGATGTGTTTTACGACTCTCTAGTCATCACTTCGCAAGATTTCGACATTAACGAGTTGAAATCAGCATCTCAAACATACAGGTTTCTCTGTACACGAATTTACAAAATAACATCCAAGTGTACTTACCTTGTTCGAGAGTGTTGCTGAGCTCAAACGAGCTATTTTGGCCACCAATGAACTTCGGAATGGCGCCAAATATAGCTCCCGATATCTACGTCACAAGGTAAGAAGATTGGCATAAGATTGCGATCTAAAGAAAGAGAAGTAAAATCAAGCTCAAAGTTGAACTCCGGTGGCTTTTCCGGTGAAAGCCGGCCACCACAGCTTCGAGATGAGGTTAAGGATGATGATTGCAAGCCTCGGACCACCTAGGAATGACGCCGAAACGTTGGAATCGCCAGAATCACTGGCTGGACAGATCACCGGCTTGGCCGCCGGTGATGCAACCGAGACAGAGATGGAGCCGATCGGAGATGCTCCGATTACCAGCAGCTATGGCCAGCCTTGCGACTGACTCTAGGACGTCCGGGGGACTACCGGAGTGGCGGTGGTGCGCCGGAAATCGGCCGGCAAGTGGCCGGTGTGAGTAAGGAAAACTCACAGCCAAGAGAGGAGGAGGAAACGTGATTTAGAGAGAGAGGGAGAGAGAAGAGAGAGAAAACAGATCTGAAAAATGTGAGACCTTCCAAAATTTTGGAGGAGAAAAATCTTATATACTCCCATTAACCTTGAATCCTAGCCCTTAGATTGATCTAATGGCCTAGAATGCATACTTAGGGATTAAGAATATTCTTTAAGGACTAAGGATAGGTGACATGGCATTATGGATGGCCATGATCAATTCTGAATGAATGGCCATGATTAAATTGCTTACCCCTAATTAATTTGCTTAATCCTTAAGGAAGGGCATTTTAGTAATTTCACTTAGGGGCATTTTCGTAATTTTCAATTAAGGGCATTTTTGTCATTTTTGGGCTCAAAGGGATGTGGCCGGCCTTGGCTAGTTGGAATAGACCGTCGATCGCCGGATTTTTGATCGGAAAATAGCCAATCTGATTAGACCTGTTCAATTCGAATCAAACCGGGTTGAATCGGTTTGTCCCGAGTTTGGCCGGGTTGAACCGGTTCAATCCTTGTATCATTTGTTTCAATTTTGTACAATTTGATCTCTATCATGATTAATTGACCCCATTAATATTGAATTCGATTAAATTGGATTGAACCGATTTGAAATTTATGCACAAATTGATCCAATTTAACTTGTTTAGCTCAATTGTTCTTGAATTTGAGTTAATTGCATGGCCAAGCTAGATTAACGAATTTAATTGAAGTCCAATTAGCCAAATTGAGTCTCAATTCATCAAATTGAATATTAGTCTAGAGTGGGTCAAGTTGAATTGCACTAATTGAACCAATTACTCCTAGACTTCTCAATCGTTGGATCACTAAATTGATCAAATTGGCTCAAATTCATGTGAATCTTCCAAATTTGATTTCGAATTTGGATTTCATATAAGAAATTAGGCTCATTTGTGTCTTAATTGCGTAAATCATGAAGAATTGATCAAAATCACTTATTAGGGCCTAAATTGGAGGTTTTTGCGTTTGGCTTGGAATCACAAAATTGGTTCCAAAATTGAAAGTAATACAACCTTTAGATCAAATGTCATGAAGGAAACTAACCTAAAAAATGACTAGAAATGAAGTAATTTCATTTTTGACCAATTTGAACCAAATTCCGCAAATTGGGAAAAAGTTGATTCTAAATCAATTTTTGTAAAATTTCAAATGCCAAAGTCAAATTGAATGTAAAATAAGATGATTTTTGGATTTTTGTATTTTTCAATTTTTTAGTCAAAGGTTTGACCAAAAGTCAAATCCTAGTTAACTTTTCACTAGGAGCTTTATTTTATGATCAAATTTTTGAATTTTTCTGGAATTTCCACTTCTAAAGTGAAATTAAACTTGAAAGGAATCTTTTTATGCGAAAAGCCTCAATTTAACTCGAGTTGACTTTTTGGTCAACTAGGGTTGACCAAAAGTCAACTCAAAAGTCAACCGTTTGACTTTTTGGGTTTTTGCATGAAATGAATAGAAAATTGTTTACAGAAGCTAGGCCAACAAATAGAATTAAAAAATAACACTTTTTGTTCAAGAAACGGGTTCCGTCGCGATCGGAAACCATAATCTCGAATTTTCTGTTTTTAATGACGCGTTGGCTAAAAATTAGGTGTCAACAGTCCCGGACCAACCCTAAAGCTCCAAGATCAAGGACTAACCTACATAGTGTTGGTTTCGGGGGTCCTAGGAACAGGGACTGACCCACTCCCTTTGGAACCGGACTAGGACTGACCAGGTTGGACCGGTATAGGGTCAGTCCAAGGTTGATCCTGAACCGATGCTCACCCCTAAGGTCATGTGGCTAAGAAAGTATTGCATGACGAGTAAATGCGGGATCTCAGTCACTCTATTTTCTTTCTTCTTTTTTTTTTCTATGCGAGAATGGTCGTAAACCTGTATTCATAAAATGCTCCATAATTTCACGGATTGGGTACCCATTGGGCATGCGGCCTAGTGGTAAGGGAATTGGATGCGGGGTTAGTAAGTTTAGTTTTAAGTGTGGGGTTCGACCCTTCAGCTCTATAAAGAGGCAGAACAAAAGTTTAAAAGAGAGAAATGAGAGTTAGAGAAGAATAAAAAAATAATCATTGATCGGGTGAAACACGAGGCAAAAGCTTGGGTGGCTTGGCCGAAACATGAAGTTATTTTGCATTTGATAGTGTTGAAGGTTGAACATGTGCCGTGCATCTAATCTACAAGCAAGTCTCACTTGTCCGACTAGACTATATTATTTTTCGGTATAGGTTTGAAACTTAGGCTCCATTTGTTTCATGGAAAATATTGTCCTCATTTTTCAGTGTTTGGATCGCTTAGGAAAAAAAGTCAATGGAAATGTTTTCCCAATCATTGGAAAACTTATGTTTAAATTCAAGAAAATGATCTTCTCTTTAAAAAAATTGAAAATTATTTTTCAAAATATGATTAGATATCGGCACTTGGGCACGAGAACCCCAACACTCGTTCTTGAGCCCTTCACAATGACCTAGGTCTAAAGGCTAGGACAGGGTCCATCAAGGTTCATTGAGGCCAAGCCTAGGTCTAAAGAGGCTGAGCTCAAACTGGTGAACAAAGATGAGGCTCGGGACACCGGCTCCCATGCTTGAGACTTTGGAGCTTATGGCTGGGTCCATCGCGGCCGAGGCCTGGGACCTCGTCCATCGAGGCTAGGTCCGGACCCTAGCGCTCGCATCCAGGTCCCCACTCCTAAGATTGGGTCACTAGCGCCTAGGCTTGGGTTGGTCGAGGCCGCACCCGGGACCCCGTGCTCATGCTTGGTTCCTTGGCTACCCATGCGCAAGTCACTAGCATACAAATAGTTTATGTTTATTTAGGAAAATCAAATCAAATTCCAAACGACAAAAATGCTTTGTTTTTATTTTTCAGATTTTAGCTAAGAATCGGACATATTATCATTTTTCGAAAAAATGACTTTTTAAAAACTATTTTTTAGAAACATAATATTTTTGCCAAACAAACAGAGCGGTAGTTGACCAGTGATTGATATGTTTAGGAGCTAATTTCTGCCCTACATATCCCGCAAAATAATACTAGCTTGGTAGCTAAAAACAAAGATGGGTGGTTTTCCAAGTCAACTTTGATAAAGTCCGTGTATTACATCTTGTCTTGGATACATCTTTCTTTACTTATTAGTTCTTTTCTTTTTTTATGTTCCATGGTTGACTTTGAGTCCATTGGCATTGCTTTTATATATTATATTTTATGCTAATTTTTTAATAATGTGCTGTAGTTGTTTGAAGGTTAATGTTGAGTAAATTGTAATCCAACGTGCTCTAGTAATTATACCACTAAACCAGACCAATGCCCTGGAAATTCAACTTAAAAGATTCTCTTTACATAATTTTGTACTTGAAAATTAATTGGTCATGCGGAACATCAAAGGTAAAAGTTGAAATCCCAAGGTTTGTGCAATTTTTTATGAGACTTTGGGGGATTTTCAATTTAGGAACTAGAGGTAACCTGTTTGAATTTTACCAACTACATAAAAGCTGCTCTGGGTCAATATTGCATGCACAGACGCAAAGTTCGAAATTAATCAATTCATGGGGATTGCATGGTGTTTTATGGACTTCCAGGTAAGCGAAATTCCACGCCCGTGTTCTTAGACAATAAAAAGAAAGAAATAGTAAAAACTATGCATAGTTTGCTAGTTTTATTGTTATGAAATTCTATGACCTGTACTCCAATTAACTAAATGAATGTTTTGCGAGTAATGAATGAGCAACTAAAAAACACCGTTTTCGACTGAAAATAATTCCCTAGTACTTGAAAAGTTATCATAGGTTAATGAAACAAAAGTTATCCTTAGATCATTTTCATGCCAAACACTAAATACAAATGCTATTTGGGAACTGCATTCCCAAGGGGCTTTGGAGCCCAGAATCTCTTGAGCAAATGCAAATATCATTTGGCAAATTTTTTGGAAAGTTTTGGGAAGATGCAATTGCATTTTTAAAGGCATTTGGCCTAAAGCAAGTCCGGAGGAGCTTTGGGCTTTAAGCATTTTCGGAATACTAATATTCTTCTTCCAACTTTGCTCTTGATAAACTTTCATAATTCTGAAAATGTTCTCACCTTGCACAAAGTCGCTGGCAAGGCCAAATTTGGCCGATGGTAAGCTAGTCTGGAGCCGGCCAACCTCGCCTAAGTTCGCACGACGTGTTCAAATGGTTTACATGACGCTCAACATGTTCAACTAGTTGCACCCCCTGACTGTGACGCATTCAATTAAATGAAACAGACAGGAAAATTACCAAAATAGTCCTAAACCTATTACAATTGTGCCAATTCAGTTCTAAACTTTTTTTTGGCCAATTCAATCCTAAATCTTTTGTATTTGTGCCAGGTTAGTTCATCCGGCCAATTTTGACCGGGCGACGTTGACGTGGCATTTTTAATATATATTTATTTATTTTTTCGAATTTTTTTAATTTTTTTTTCCTTTTCTTCTTCCCCTAGTCGGTCCAACGATCGGCCAGGGGCTAGGGCTGGTGACACTAGTTGCCGGCCACTGGTGAGGCTCACCCTCGCCGTCGAGGTCGAGGTCGGCCGAGCAACGGCCATGGCAAGGCTGCTCGACCTCGTCGTCGCCCAGATCTGTGGCGAGGCCGCTCGGCCTCCCCCAGGTCTGGGCGAGGTCGAGCGGCCTCGCCATGGCTGCTTGACCTCACCGTCGCCACAGATCTGGGCGGCGGTGAGGCGAGTAGTGGCCATGGCAAGGCCGCTCGGCCTCCCCCAGACCCGGGGGAGGCCGAGCGGCCTCGCCCACGACGACGAGGTTGAGGCTCACCCTCGCCCTCGACAGCGAGGGCGAGCCTCATTAGTGGCTGGCGACCAGTGTCGCCGGCCCTAGCCCTTGGCCGGTCGTCGGACGCCGGACTGGCCAGGGGAAGAAGAAAAGGAAAAAAAAAATAAAAATAAAAAAATGTCGCGTCAGCATCGGCCGGAGAGCTAGCGCCAGCCGGCGTCCACATCAGCGCCGGCAGGCTAAAATTTGCCAGATGGATTGAACTGGCACAAATACAAAAGGTTTAGGACTGAATTGGCAAAAAAAAGTTTATGACTGAATTGGCACAATTGCAATAGGTTTAGGACAGTTTTGGTAATTTTTCCCGAAACCGACAGATGCAAGTGATGGAAACGCTCAAGCCTAGCCCCAAGAACGTTGACATTGCAAGATACTGGCAGTCTTTATGAACGTGTACATTGACAGGAACTACAAGTGGGACGGTAGGGACGTATGCTTCTCAACTTGACTTGTCCATCACTCATAATCACACTGCAGATATCTGGCATTGGGTCGCGATTCATATACATGAAGTAAGACAGCAAAAACCACAGTTTTGCATCAGAGTTACAACTAGGTCTGCTCTTTCCTGTTCCCCGATGGAAGAACACTTGGCCTCTACAGTACTTAAAAGTTGCCCTATGAACATGACCATTCAATTTTGTTGGATTGATTGCTTCTCGATCATAACCTCTATGCCAGAGGTCTCAGCTTTCTCTAAGCCGTTCAAGAAAGAGTGCTCTATTCGGTAATGCAATTAGTAGGGTCATCGTGACAATGTTTAGGCGAAGTGGATGCATGTGATACATAAATTCTCTGTTCGTAACTTTTCTAGACAATACAAAAAGCTTAAATTTTGTATGTCGATCTAAGCCTGACTATGCGGTGACCTGCTTTGGTCGAACCTTTTACCCCTGCTGCATCTTGGGTCGATCCCCTCTTTTAAGACTTTTGACACTATATGCTTATAGGCCATAAGTCCATCCTACAGCGCCAGAGTTACCCAATTCGTACTAAGATTAGCAGTGGCGATGAAGCACTGAAATAGTTCCTGGAATTAATAAAACTTGCTACATCTTACAACATCACGATGAAATGAGATACATGAATTTCTATAGCATTAGAAGACTCTTCATATTTATGCTCCTTCAAGCATGTTGCGTCCAAATCAAGAACACATGAAATTTCCTTGCCCATACCGACCCTCGTGTCTCTAGAATTCAGGACAGTATCTGCCTTTTTTCCCCCTCAAATCAACACAGAGACAAAACACAGCTAGTATGATTCCTTGTTAACAAACCTTTTCCAGTACCAATGCCTCTCCCACACCACATGCATTGAGTCCAGTGGAACCCCCTTCGTCTCCGGCAAGAAGAACACCACAAAGATCGTCATCACAGAGATCCAAGAGGCGTAGAACAGGAAAGTTGCGAACTTGAAGTGGCACAACATGGTTAAGAATGTCTGCGACAGCACGAACGTGACAGCGAAGTTCACGGCCACGCTAATGCTTTGCCCCGTGGGACGAATCTTCATGGGGAATATCTCGCTCGGGATGAGCCAGCTTAGGGGACCCCATGACCAACCGAACCCGGCCGCGTAGATGCACATCAGCACCAGCACTAGTATGGCGTAGCCCTTGGTGATGCGCTCCGTGCCAGAAGTGCCTGTCGTCGCAGCCAAGACACATGCCACACCAACCTAAACAATAAGCGAACAAGGTTTAACTTAAGGGCTTATGTGGATTTACGATTTCAAGATGGACCTCGAGATGGACGGATGGTTGAGCATAGTGATCGTATAAATGTCTCAACGTAGTCTTGTATGTTGAGCATTACTCCTTAAAATACTTTACTTCTTTATTTTCTCCATGCGTGGGATCACGCCTCATGCATTGCTAATAAAGCTAGGGGGCTAATTACGTACCTGACAGAGGAACATCTGCACTCCACCCTCAATGAACAAAAACCTCCGCCCACAGCGATCCACCACAAACGTAGACACCAGAATCGATCCCAAGTTCACCAATCCAAGTATTATAGCCGCTATCAGAGCGGAGTCGCTTCCGAATCCAACGGACTGAAACAAAACAGGTGCGTAGAATGCAATGATGTTGATCCCTGTAACTTGCTGAAAGAACGGGATCGCTATCGACATCACCAGGTGAGGCCTGTACTGCCTCTCGAAGATCGTTACAAAGGGCTCTTCCTTGGCGGCCTTTGCTGTCTCGCTGCACCTGACGAGCTCCGTGAGCTCGGGCTCGATGTCGGTGCCGTGGCCCCGCACCCTGAGGAGCGCTTGCTTTGCCTGAGTGAGCTTGCCACGCTCGACAAGGCTCGCGGGAGTGTCGGAGATGAGGAGGGCGCCGAGGGTCATGATGGCGGCCGGGGCCGCCGCGAGGCCAAGGGAGAGGCGCCACCCCCAGCTGTGCTTGGCGGTGCCATAGTTTATGCAGTTGGCGGAGACCACCCCAATGCCTATGAAGAATTGGAAGCCGGTGTTGAAGGCACCGCGCCACTTCGGCGGGGCCATCTCGGAGAGGTACACTGGAGTTGCCTGAGATACAATTATCATCTTTAACTATTCGGATGACAATTCTCTTCCAAAAAGAAGGGTATATTGCATGAATCCAATTTATAAGCTAAATTGAATCTAAAGCATGGATTTGATTAAACCCATCATTTTCAATAGTCAATAATTAATTTATTATCAATTATTTATCGCTGAACAAAAGACTAGCATATAGATATTATCCTTGAGAATTTTAGTAGTGTACATTTCTCTAACCTATCAAGTCTCCACCAACATATATAAAATGAACTTGATCATAATAGTAACCTAATACATTTATATATGTCCCGTCGATCACAAAAAATATCAACTGAATACATATAATTATCGACAAAGAGTCCAAATGCAAGTTCTATATTTTAATTGATCATAAATTTGGAGCCCAAACCTACCAGCAATTTCAGAATAGCTAAACCTTAATCATGAAATCAGGAGTACAAGTGAATAACCTTGATATATGGTCTTGAAAAAGGAACATAGTAAAACAGCAAATGAACTAGTACCTGATTAGTAAAGCCGACACCAAACCCGAGCAAGATACGCCCAAGGATGAGCATGGCTATGTTGGTAGCACCGCCGTTGATGGCGGCCCCAGCAAGGAAGGTGCAGCCGCCGAGGATCATTATGTTTCTCCGGCCGAACGCCGCGGTGAGGCGGCTCGCCAAGAGGGATGAAGCCAACCCCGCGATGTAGAGTGAGGACGTGAATGCCGTCAGGACTTGGCTGTTGTAAATGCAGTACATGTTCGTTTTGGCCTCGGCAGCCTTCCTTAGTACCGCTGGGAAGAATTTCTTCAAGAACGGAGCCATTGTAGTGACACCCCCTGCACAGATTAATTGCAAGTTTGCACCATCTATCTGTTAGTACAGTAAAAGTCATATCGCTCTGTTCTTGATTGCAATGAATCTCATCAAAAGAAACAGTTTAGACCATTATCCACATACTGCAATTCTTGCATAAATTTTTGCATTGACTAGGTGTAAATGTCCCCAAATAAGGCCCAAAATTGATGTCAAGGCTCGTGCACATACGAGATTGTTGGTCGGCATTACATGAATAAATTCACTTGTGCATACAGAAATTGACTAGTTGACATTCCATGAATAAATTGAAGAGTTTATACTGTACGCGAGGAATAAAGTCTATTTTTTCCGTTTACCGTGGTAATAATTTCTTTACCCATTTTACAAAAACTTAAAATTATGTAGGAGCAGTTACCTGAAACAAAATAAAGTTACAAATCCACTTATGTGAAAACAACACCATTGGTGGTTTTTTAAACAAGCCATTTACAATAAGTTTGTAGATTTTCATATTTGTGGATTCTCTTCATGAAAATACATATATTGGTCAAAAAGAGGTGAGTTCAAGGGCCGTACTTATTTTTTAGTACTTATTTTTTTGCACGTGAAATAACATAGGGGGATGCAAAGAACACCATTAAAGTAGAGAAAAGGCATGAAAATAAAGAGCAACTGATCTGCTTGGTTTCCAATATTCGACTTGAAAAGCTCGCGGCCCTCCATCGTCAAAGGGATCATGCTAGTAGGATTCACAAATATACTACATTAATTTGTGGGTTAATACCACGAACAACTCCAAATCGGTATATCTATGATAAATTTACTTCAAATTAATTTTTTGATCACCAAAAGCCCTAAACTGATACACCTATGACAAATTTACTCCAAAATAATTTTCTGGCCTCCAAAACTCCGAAACTGGTACACTTATGACAAATATATCCTCAGATAAATTGGATTAATACCATAAAAAATTACAAATTGATAAACATGTGACCAATAGAGGGGTAAAATCCTAAATTGCTACATTCGTTAACTGCCACGTGTCATCCAACTCAGCAATAAAATTTAATAAAAATTAATGAAGGGTAAATTTGTCACAGATGTACCAGTTTGAAGTTTTTAGTGATCAAAAAATTAATTTGAGATAAATTTATCACAAATATATCAATTTTTGATCTTTCGTGATATTAACTCATAATTTTTCTAGGATTCCTCCGTGTTGTCGTCTGCTACCGACTATCTCTTTTTTTATTTTTGGTCGAATGCTACTGCCCATCTGCAAATGCTTAAAGAGCAAGCCAACCCTATCGGCTCATGCCTAGCTTTACTTTGGGGCTACGGACGAACAGTCCACGTTCATCTAACAAGGCACAATTATCATCTTGGGCTGGACAATTTTCCTCTTTCACCCATGCGTTGACTTTTCATACGGTTTTTTCATGCAATTTTCATCTCCCCATTCACTCCAAAACTTGCTTGTGCGAGTAATCACGTGGCATCTAATTTAGCAAACTTGCCTGATATAGCTACGTGACGGAGAGTGCGGTGGGAATGAAGTATGCCTAGGACTCGCTATACTTTTACAAAATAGGTCTCTATGCTCTGCGAAAAAAAGGTCATAAACTTAATGTCATTAAATGGCTAACGTGGTATAATCAACCGATAATAGTCAATTTCATTTTTTGCCATAATTACAGATAAGAAAATCGTGTTAGATGTTGATGGCAACCTACTACCACAATCCCAAATGTTTTTTTTTTTGGGTCGAAGTATCCTAAAATATAAAAGAATCTCCTCAAGATGAAAACAGCTTTAACATCCAGATCATTAGATCATTAACTTGCACCAACCATAAGAGTATATAGATATCTACATATCACATTGGGATGCAAGGTATAAAGTAAAGTTCGCATGGATTTTGACTCGTATCAAATACGAAAGGCCGAGATCATTGAACACAACTTAGCTCTTTACATTTTTCTCGGTTTCGAACTATAGCGACCAGATCATTTTAACTAACGGATCCCCCCGGGAAGAAAAACAAAATTGGAAATCATTAAAGAAAACATGCAATCATCTATAATCACTGTTTCAATCAAGCGATTGTGCCAAAAAATTTTGAAAAAAATATTTTGAGATTTAGGTAAACGAAATGGACCGCCACTCCCTCTTCTCTCTACCTATTCCCACAGCGTGGATGGGACAGGGTAACAAATCATTAGCTTCCAACCTCGGAGAGGTCCATGCAAGAGGGCAGATGAACATCAGCTTTTTGACTATATAATATATATTATATATAAATTATTTTTAATGTATTTTTTAATTAATTTCCTGAGCCTGGATGAGCTAACAGTCAAACAACGCACTCTCTGCTCTTCAAAAAATTCCAATATCATCGGTTCATCCGAACGACAGCAGTTGAAACCAGCATCCACCTCGCAGCAACAACGCGTGGAGTCAAATTCAAGTCCGTTCATGGAGCTGAAGCTACAGAGGGTGTCGATGGAGAACATCGGAGCTTTCAATAATTGAAACTGTGAAGAGATGAATTTTGATGTTTTTTCGCATTTATTGCTGGAAGGAGACACGATGGCGATTCATCAGCAGTTTCCAGTACGACTGCTTCGATTCGATCGCCCCCCAGTTCAAACGGCCCCACATACAAAGCGCGTATTAATATCGTTCGAAGACAGCAGCGGATGGGAGTCAGTGCACAAAGTACATGATGAAAGATCCTGAGATCGTCGGACGTGACACGCCATTTTTCACGGTGGAGAAACTGGACAGAGGAGAGGGAGGGGCAGAAGACGCACCTGAAATCCCGATGTCGTACCCGAAGATGAGCCCGCTCGTCGCCGCCACGACGCAGGTGATCACCACCGACAGCGTTATCTTGCCGCCGAGGCCGTCGACGTTGCCGCCGTCGACGGCGAACCCTCCGACCGCCATCTCTCTCACTCTCACTCTCTCGCTCGAGTGCGAGCAGAGCAGGACTTTCCAGGAGGTTTTCGTCAGAAGCGAATGTCGATGGGAGTGGCAAAATGGCTCGTTGCGTCGTGTCACGAGACCGTCATTTTATAATGACTATGAGGGAGAGACAGAGGCGTGAGGATAGCCCCAGGTGGGTCATGTGGCCGAGAAAGTAACTAAATGTGAATTTTCTTTTCTTCTTGAAAAAAATTTCAAATAAGTACTCAAAATGCCCTCATTTTCCCAAATAAAAATCTAAAGTGAATTTTGTGTCAAATAAAAACCTGAAGTGGCATGAAAGTCTCAAATAAGGATATGAAGTGGCTATGGCAGTATCAAATAAGGACCCGATCTCTCCAAATCCAGCCGGTCAAGGGTATTTTTGTCAAAAAATATTTTTAATTTTTAATTTTTAATTATTTTTCTTTTTCTTCTTTTTCCCTTTTTCCTTCTATTTTCCTTTATTTTCTTTTTTCTGGTTTTGTTTTTGTTCTTCGCCGGTGGCCGGTTGGGCGAGGCGACCCTCGCCCTGGGCGAGGGCGACCTCACCTAGGGCGAAGGTCGCCTCGCGAAGGCGAGGCCGTCCTCGCTGGTAGCTAGGGAGGCGACCCTCGCCTAGATCTGGCGAGGGCCGGCCTCGCTCATGGTCGACGAGGGCGACCTCACCCAAAGGTGGGGGTCACCTCGCCTAGGTGAGGCCGTCCCTCGCCTGTTGCCGACGAGGGTGGCCCTCGCCAGATCGGGTGGGGGCAACCCTCGCCTAGCCCTTCCCGAGCTTAACTAGTGGCTGGCTGGCCATCGAAACCGGCCATTGGCGAAGAACAAAGGGAAAATCAGAAAAAAAGGAAAAAGGAATTAAAAAGAAAAAAAAGAAAGGAAAAAAAGAAAGAAATTCAAAAAAAGTTAAAAGACGAAAATGCCCTTATCATTGGGAAAGTCATGCCCTTTTTTGAAACAAATATAGCCACTTTAGGCTTTTATTTAAAACAAAATCCACTTCATACTTTTATTTGAGAAAATGAGGACACTTCAAGTCCTTATTTGACATAAAATCCACTTCAAGCTCTTATTTAGAATTTTTCCTTTTTTTTTTGACACGGGAATTCCAATAAACCCGGATTCACGAAATGCTTCATGGATTAGGTAAAACACGCGGCAAGAAAGTGTTGCATGTCTGATTAAATGCGGATTTTCTTTCCTTTTTTTTTGACACGGGAATTCTGATAAACCCGGATTCATGAAATGCTTCATGGATTAGGTAAAACACGAGGCGAAATCTTGGGTGGCTCGGCCGAAACACAAAGGTAAGACAAAATACGTGTCGTGTGTCTAATTTGCACACAAGTATCACTTGACCGACTGGATTTTGTTATGTTGAGTATAGGTTTGAAACTTAATTCGGCAGTGATTGATATATTTAGGAGCTAATTTCTTCCCTACTTTTCGGGGCTTGTAAAAAAAAAAAGATGGGTGCATTTTCAAGTTAACTTTGGTGAAGTCCGTAAATTACATCTTGTCTTGGATATACCATCCCTAGTACATCTTTCGATACTTATCAGCTCTTTATCTTTCTATTTTTATGTTCCATGGTTGACTTTGAGTCCATTGGCATTGTGTTTATTTGTTTATTTGTTAATGCTAATCTTGATGTAATGCGCTGTTGTTGCTTTTAAGTTTAATGTTGAGTACATGGCAATCCAACGTGCTTTAGTAATTAAACCACTAAAACAGACCACTAACTTGTAAGTCAACTAGAAAGATTCTCCCTACATAATTTTGCACATGAAAATTATTTGGTCACTCAGGAACATCGATAGCATAAGTTCAATCTCCTAGGTTTGCGGACTTTTTTATGGGACTACAGAGTTTTCCAACTAAAGAATTAGATGTCACTCATTTGAATCCTATCAACTGCATAAAAGTTGTTCCAGGTTAGGATTGCATGCTCAGGCGAAAAGTTCGGATTTAATCGATTCATGCGGATTGCATGGTGTTTTATGGACCTCAAGATGAGCGGATTTTCATGTCTGTGTTCCTGGACTATAAATAGAAAGTCAAAGTAAAAACTATGCGGATTTCGCTACTTTTTTTTGTTTGTTATAATATCTTGTAAACCACACTCCAATAAGGTAATTAACTAAATGAATGTTTTCATAAGTAATGTATGAACAAGTAAATAACGTTGTTATCGAGTGAAAATAATTCCCTCGGACTTGAAAAGTTATCATAGGTAAGTGAAACATAAGTTATGAGTAGCTCATGTTTAGAGCAAACACTACGTACGATAGGCACAAAGTCTTTGAAAACTGAGATTTTCATCATTTGATTACTTGATGATAGGTGTTAGATATAATGTATATTTTAGGGTTCATTACTATTCATTCTTTCCCTATATAAAGGGACTTGGCCTTGTAGTCTAAATTTATTCAAACAATAATATACACAAAATTCTCTCATCTCAACTTGGTATCAGAGCTACATTGTTACCTGAGGAGCGCCCATCGAGCCTGCCACACCGTGGCCGCCACGACGCCAGCCGCACCGGCCGCGCCGCCCCGGTTCTCCGACAAGACCGAAGCTTTTCGTCACTGCTCGGTATACTTCCGCTGCTCATTTCGGAAAACCGAGACCACCAGCAGACTCGCCGCCCTCAGACGACCCACGTCCTGAAATTTCATCGCCAACAGCCGCCGGACGCCACTGCACGCACCGCCACGCGCCGCCGCACTTCGGACCCAGGTAGCCCATTGCTGTTCACCGGTGTTTTGGACATCCTCTGCCGTGTCTTTCCAAAAACCAACACCAACCCACGACTCGCCGCCCTCAGTATAGTCAGCCAGTCAAGTTTCGTCTCTTTTCGCCTCCAGACGCGCCCTCACGCGCCGCCCCAAGGCCTGCGCGTGAGATCCACGCGCCTCCCCCAGCTGGCACGCGCCCGCACGTGCCCGGCACACGCCCCAGCGGACGTCATCTGCCACGCCATCTGCCACGTCATCCATTTGACCGATCGTTGACCGACCGTTGACCGTCATTGACCGGTTTAGCCCAGGCCGGTTCTGTCGATTTTCTGGCCGTTTCGACCATTTTCTTATCGGTTTCCGGTGATTTCCGACCGGTTCTTGAGGTATTCCGACGTCCTGAGTTCGTTTTTGCTATTATTTTTGTCATATCAGCTCTCGGTATATTAGATTCTGCTGATTCCATAATAGTGAAGTGCATATCATGGATAGAATGGAAGTCTCAATGCCAATTCAGACTATTTTGAATGGTTCTAATTATATTTTATGGTCTCAAGAAATATCAAGTTTCTTGAAAGGACGTCAGCTTTGGCGTTATGTCACTGGAGAAATTAGGGTACCTACTAGAATTACTGAAGAAACTGATGATAAATTTGTGGATCGATTGAATGAATGGGATAGCAGACATCACCAGATTCTCACATGGTTTCGAAATACTTCGATCCCATCTATCCGACTCCAGTTTGGCCTTTTTAATACAGCAAAAGAAGCTTGGGATCTTCTTGATCGTCGTTATTCTAGTTCAAATGTTTCCCATCAGTATCGGTTGTTAGGGACTTTATATCACATGCGTCAGGAGCCCGGTCAATCTATTAATGATTTTCTATCATCCATGCATGCTATTTGGGATCAGTTGACCTTGTGTGAACCACGCATGGAAGGGGATGGTAATATTCGTAGAGCTGCTGAACATCGTGATCGTATTCGTATCATGCAATTTTTGATGGCTCTGAATGATGAGTTTGAACCTGTGAGAGCCTCCATTCTACATAGAGATCCTTTTCCTTCTCTTGAGACAGTTATATCAGATTTATTGAATGAGGAGACTCGATTGGCCACCTTGAAAACGCAACGTCCTACTGTGCCCATATCCACACCGACGGATGCAGTCCTTGCCACTCCGAGTTCTTCTTCCATGCGACGTCCATTTTGCAAACATTGTCGTCGACATGGTCATTTGGCATCGAATTGTTATCGGCTACGGCCTATGCAACCCACAGGATCGACCACTCAACCTCGTAGCCGAGGACCCTCTGTCCGTCCATCTGCCAATGCTGCCATTGTCGAAGCTTCTTCCCATGGATCGTCCCACACACTAGTGTCTCTAGAGGATCTTCGTACCGTTCTCCGAGAATCTGGTACCTTTATCCCTTCTATTCCTAGCACTTCTGCTATGTCTACTGCTCCAGGTATTTCTGATTCTTGGTTCTTTGATTCTGCTTGTTGCAATCACATGACATCCAATTCTGCCTTATTTCAGTTTAAATCCTCCGCTTCACATGCACCTCATATTCTTACTGCTGATAATTCACATATGAGTGTTAGTCATACAGGAAACATTTCTACATCTACATTATCTTTAACTAACACCTTCCTCGTTCCTAAACTCTCACTCAACTTGATCTCTGTCGGCCAATTGTGTGAACTTGGTCTTGATATTCACTTCTCTTCTCATGGTTGTCATGTGCAGGATCCTCGGACGGGACAGACACTTGGGACAGGCCGTAAAGTGGGGCGCCTCTTTGAGCTTGTTTCCCTAAATATTCCGCCCTCTTTTTCTACTTGTGCTGCCACAGTGTCATCTGAAACTTGGCATTCTAGGTTAGGTCATGCTTCCTTTTCTAGGTTAAACTCTTTAATTTCAAGTGGTCATTTAGGTTCCGTTGACACTAAACATTTTGACTGTCTGCCATGTAAGTTGGGAAAACATCATGCTTTACCGTTTCAGACAAGTGATTCTGTATCCCATGCTCCGTTTGATCTCATTCACTCTGATATATGGGGACCATCTCCCACTCCCACCATGGGTGGCTCTCGCTATTTTGTCATTTTTGTGGATGACCATTCTCGGTATACTTGGCTTTATCTTATGAAAAATCGTTCTGAACTTTCTCGTATTTATCGTGATTTCGTTGCTATGGTTAAAACCCAATTTTCACGGGATATTAAGATTTTTCGTACTGATAATGCTATGGAATATAGAGATACCGAATTTCTTCGGATTCTTTCTCAAAATGGTACTATCATTCATCGCTCTTGCCCTAGCACCTCTCAACAAAATGGTAGAGCTGAACGTAAGCATAGGCATAT